GGTGTACTTTGGTTCCGGTTATGTATTGTTGCTCGCAAGCCGAGCTACGGCACCAACACCGCCTCGCTGCAGATTGAATGCGTGAGTTTTTCGAACAGTTCCTTATTTTCTGCAAAAAAAGCGGTGTTAAAGCAAGTCAAAATGAATTACTCTCACCATTATTAAGCTCCAAAGGTGGGCCGATATTTAAAATTGTTCGAAACATAATATTTTTAGTCAAATTTTTTGTGTTATTGGGCAGATTTTCTTAAGGAAAAGGGCATTAAAAAGATAAAAAGATTACCGTAATTTTTAAGATATTGCAAAACCTAGCTTGCGGAAAGCTTGGGGTAATTTAATAGGTTATTTGATGTTTGCACCTTTAAGTAACTCCATGAAACGTCTTTTTTTAAATCAGAAACTCCGTTTAAGTTCCATTTTTAGCCAGAAATTAATTATAGGCATTGGTAACCAAGTTTAATTTATAAATTGAGCTCGCAAATTCATTGGCGACTTTGGAGTTCTTCGAAACATTTTTTGAAAAATTCATGTTTCGACTTTTTTTACTAAATCCGAGAAGTCAAAAATAATTTGATCCTTTGCGATGTTCAAATTAAGCTAAAAACCATTCAATTTTAATGAAATCCGAATACCTATCCACTCTCCCCTATTGTCCCGCCTCTTGAAATGCGCTGGTCACGGCTATTTTTGTTGGTATTTACGTCTGGCGCTCTCGCCTGACCAGCCCCAGCCAGCCGCCACACACAAATTTCGCCAGGGCATCTGCACTTTCTTTTTAGCGCGGTTGGCCTCCCTTGCTCGTTTTGCTGCGCCTCTCCCCTTCTCGTGCTCCCTCTCCGCCTCCCGGCCGCCTGCCCGAAAACATATACTAAAGGCAACAAAAACATAGGACAACACAACTGGGGGAGTTGACCTTGTGGAATTTGCGCTAAAAATGGGAGATAAGCTGCAGGGAATTTTGGCCTTTGAGGTTGTGAAATTTAAAAGTAAAGTCTCAATGATCTTGATTGGATTCTCGCCATTTGATAATTTTATGAAACACAAATTCCGAACCAAAAAGTTTCAATTTTTTCGGAAAGTAATTTTAAATATCTATTATTTATTGAATTCAAATGGATACAAGGCATTTCGCTTCATTTTTATAGCGGCTTGCCTGAAACATATTTACTGGGAAAACTTTAATTTTTTGCCAAGTGTGAAATAAATGTTTCATAAATATTCAAAAGCCTGAATATTTTTCTGCGGCCAGTTTTAGTCACGCAGCGACTTTAATTTTGCAAATTCCATTTTGAGAGTGATCTAGGAATCCTTAAATTCTGGAAATCTTAGGTTATAGGTATCGGTCTTAACTTCGCGGAGAGTAATGAGGTTAGCGAAAGAGAAAGATATATAGAGAGAGAGAGAGAGAGAGTGCAGGAGCGACAGACACACTGACATACATACAGACACTCATCCAAATCACCAATTCAAACGAAGAGGGTACCACCGGGCGCGACGAGGACGACCGGGCCGTTGGGGTGCCGGTCGGTACCATTTCTGCAGGAGAGCGAGAGGGAGAGAGACCACGTACAAAAAGGGCGCGCGCTAGCCGGGGGAAAAGACCAAATGGAGGCGCGGGGCAAATGGCAGATTTTTTGCGTGGGGGGCGCTGAGGTGCCAGGAACGGTGCCCGGGCCCCGGCCGGGCACGCGCACTTTTTTGCGCGCCCCGCGCGCAAAAAGAGCATACAGCCTGAGAACCCGCTATTTTTAGACGATCGGGGAGATGGGGTTTTGAAATTAAGAGGACTTTGAAGCGGGAGGCAACTAGCAGGGATTCTTGGGGATTTGGTATTAAAGGGGGTGTGACGGCTAAAAGAACCTTCTAAAAAAATTGAATTTAAACTTTTGAAAAATTTGCAGTTTTTTCTTAAAGGTCCGAATAAGGCAAAATATATAGGGACTCTCATAAAATGTTGCATTGAAAGTTCTTTCCAAAATCTTAAAAAGAACAATAAAAATTTCGCAAATTTTGGTGTTTCATAAAATCTTAAAAAACCTCTTTTTTTACCAAAAATTATTAAAAGGTTCCATTGCGCTTCTAAACATATTTCCCGGAACCTGAAGGTATATCTGCCCTATTCCGGTCCCGAGAAGTGTCGAAATTAGACCCGTCATTCCGGGGACCGCTTCCCTGTAAATAGGAGTACGCGGAACTCCTATTTACCCCCCACGCAACGGCATTTCCGGCCGGGCCCTCAGCGCGTCTCTCTCTCTCTCTCTCTCTCTCTCTCGCCCAATTCGGGAATTAATGCCCTCGGAGGCACAAATTCCTTCCTCCGCTCGCCCCTTCTTTGGAAATCGTGGCAGAAACCCGGAAATTATTGGCCAATGGGAATTAGAGGAGGAAAAGGCTCGGAAATTCGTGGGTCCAGAGGAATTCGGCGGTATTTGATTAGTCGGTCTGGAAGAATTAGAAAAGAGAAGAAATCTCTGTGGGAATCGCTGTCTAAGAAATAAAGAACCAATAGAAAAGGATAAATTCGACGGAAAAAGAATTTTTTTGAAACACACTATGATTTTAAAATTTAAATTTTTTTTTTGGGTTCTGAACTGGAAAAAAGAAAAGTTTTTGGCAAAGTTTGGATAACGCTCATCTTTCAAAACATATATCTTATACCTATTTGCTATCGACAACAGCGAGTTTAAAATAATGTGTTTCACTCAACAATGTTTTAAAAAATACCGTGGTGGACGTAATGGGTTTCACTTCTGCTTTAGACGATAACAAAAAATTTATGAAAAACCATTGCAGCAACGACTAGTAAGCAAATCGTGTCGTTTCAGTTTTTTTTTTGAGTCTTTCACTCTATCTCATCTTTTTGATTAAAAGGTTTTAGCTAAACTTTCAATTTCCCTTGCTTTCAAAAATAATTTTTTAATGTACCTTCTTAATTTTTTTAATTTCTCAATCTTAGTTTTTATTAAGCTTCGAAATCTGCTGTTTTCCCCTTTGCCCCGGGGTTGACTCACAAGTTCCGTCTAGAAATCCACAGCTTTCCGGGGGAATTTCCGGGGAAATTTCAAGGAATTTGATGACTGGGGAGAGAGAGAGAGAGATGGAGATAGAAAGAGAGAGCCGATTTCTGAGGCCCCCGAGCAAATCCCACAGGCAGATTAGCCGCTGCTGGTCAGGTGCCCCTAAAGAAATGGAAAATATTTGAAATCCTGCCCGCCGTCGCGATCAAACAGCCACCGGCTAGAATTTAGAGATTCCTCAGTGGGGAAAACAATTTGGAAATGCCAGGAATTTGCTAGATCTTATGCCACCGTGGTTTGAATAAAGCGAAAAAGTTTTTCGGATACTGCCGATTCTTGGAAACATACTTTTGTTTCGAATAATTCGGATATCGTGCGGGCTAATTAAGCTAAAGTTAGATAAATCCAAAAAATTCCAATTCCAATTCCAATAAATTTTAATTAAACGATAATTGCACATACCATCTAAGGACGTATTAATATCAGCAATTTTTCCGATCATACTAACTTTTCCGAAACACCCTTTTTCCTTATTTAAAATTTAACTTTTCCCAGGAGATAATTAGAAAATTAAAAATAGTTCTGAATCAAAACATTCAAACGTTCGGGATTTAAAAAAACGTTGTTTAATTGGCTAGTGAAAGGTGCGCTGAGATTTGGAAGTTGATGAAACATTTTTTCAACCAAAAATACATGAAACAGAGTATTATGAAAAGTACCATTACCTCTCCAATTTCAGCCCGGCTCGCCGACGATGGCCCGCAAGTTCTCCGGGCTGCGCCGCATGTTCAAGCTGTACGGCGCCGCCCCGGCCGAGGAGCTGAAGACGGCCGAGGAGATCGTCGAGGTCGAGTCGCCGCGTCGTCAGTGCCAGATTAAGGCCCGTGATGTGAGTGTTTTTTGATCAAGATTTTTTATTATTAAAAAGGCTGAAAAAAAAGTTATTTGTAAAGCAAAAACGCATACTTTGAAAAACTAAAAAATTTATAGCAAAAAAATGAAGAACATTGAAACTCTTGCCTCCCCGATAATGCAACAAAAACCGGAAATTTTAATTGAGAATTCCGAGTTTTAAGAATTTTAATTTACTAAATTCTCTCTCTCCCTTTCTCTCTCTCTCGCTCTGACTCTTTCTCTCCAAATTCGAATTCTTTCGAATTACTCAACATTTCGTTGAAATCGCTGATAACTGCCCCATTCCGGCCCCATTTTTAGTATATATTTTTTGGGGGGAACACACTGTCTGGCGGCGTGCTGCTGCTGCGGTGATAATCGCCAATTCGTACAGCCCGGCTGGCCCGAAGCCAGCCCATATTTACATCCCAGGGCGACCAAAAAAGCTGCCCCAGCCATAGCCAAAAATAAAGCCGCCAGAAATTTCTCGGCGCTGGGAAACAACAATAACACCGTAGTACGGAGGAGGCCGTACAGTTGTGGAATTCGGGATTCGAAGACTAACATTTGGTGAATAACCAGATAACAATTTCGGGGTTTAGGCAATTTTTTGATACATCGAATTTTGCGCCAAAAATTCCGCATTTAGAACCTGCAACTTGTTTTTTGAGCGCTTTTGCGGTAGCTTCAAAAATTAGAAGATAACTTTTACCAATATCGCATCACTCTTAATTAATTTATAAAGCTCCCCGACCAAAACTGGATTTTTGAAACTCATACCTTGCGTCTATCACCTTTATTCTCGATACTTCGGGTCTAGTCACATCCATAAAACATTGTTTTTCAACAAAAGGGTTGTATTTTTCCATTTTCCGGGTTTGAGCAGAGTAGTACTATTGTACTATGCTTCCATTCTCTCCTGGATAGACTCCTAAAAATAGCTCCCGGGCCCGGCAGTTCGGTTGCACTCCCCGACACCGCCCTGCTCGCCGAAAATTGGCGCAAAAAAGTGCCGCCGCAGTGCAGGCAGCGAGAGAAAGAGAGAGAGAGAGAGAGAAGAGAGAGAGGAGAGAGGGAGAGAGAGAGAGAGAGAGAGAGAGAGAGAGAAGAGGAGAGAGACGGATGCGCAGTAAAAGGCCAGACGATTCGGGTCCAGACGGAAGAACGTACCGATATAAAACTGTCTGGACGAATGAGAGAGAGAGAGAGAGAGAGAGAGCGAGAGAGATACAGACAGGCAGAGATACAGACCGACGGAGATTTGAGAGGCCAATCATCATACAAAAAGCCAAGTTAGCAGACAGACCCACAAAAAGTGCAGTTTGCTGGGCGCGGCACGGGCTGGGCCCGTGTGGCCCAGCTGCAACCCGCACTATCTTTTTAGCTTCTCTCTCTCCAACCCTCTCTCCCTTTCCCGAATCCCTCCGCTCTCACCCCAATTTGCACTTGGTGCTCGGCTGCCCTCTTTTTTATTTGGCGCCTTTGTGTGCGGAGTGGGAAGCCCAGGTGGGTGGAATGGGAACCGCGGCAAAACACCCGGAAAGGGCAGAATTTCGGAGAAAATAAAAGAATTGAGAATTCCCAGGGAATTTCCGGAAATACTTTTGCAAATGGTTTGCAAACAACGATTAGTGTAATAAATTCAAAAGGCTTTAGTTATTTGTACTAAACATAATTTTTCAAAAAAATTACTTACAAAAAATTTTTTGGTGTCACGGATTTGGTTTCCATCAAAAAACTATATACGCATATAGAACGATATAATCTTTATTTATTCTCGCCACTCGTTTTTCCAGCACTCAAAAAATATTGACGGCCGGCAGCAGCCGACTCGTATTTATCGGCTTTGCATGTTGATAGCTACTCGTTTTACCAGTTTCTCTCACTCGCCGTCTCTCTCTCTCTCTCTCTCTCTCTCTCTCTCCTCAAAAGCATCACAGACCAACTTGCACTTTACAAATATGGCGATTCCAAAAAAAGGGGGTAAGAAAAAATGTTTCGATCAATCGTAATTATAAAGTCCGATATACAAAGTTAATGCATCGTTAGATAGACGGGATAAAATCGATGCTTTGAAAAATTCTCAACTTTTATTCTTAAAACATTTGTAATATTAGATCGCTCATTATCTGAAAATTTCTAGGTAGCCGTCGCTGTCACCTCACGCGTCCCATGCCGCGTGCGTGTCTGCGCCCCGAACGGCGAGTGCTCTGAGGAGATGAAGCCCGGCGCGTCGTCGGAAAACGAGACCGTCTACGAGCCAAAGTTGTGCGGCTGCGGCCACGGCCACTGGACCTTCCACATCCTTCACGAGCAGTGCGTTTTTTGGACTATGATAGGCATGAAAAATTCGTTTTTCTTAAAATCATGCCAATCCGATAGTTTTCCTAATATAATTCACCATTAAATTATTATTCTCTCTCAACAAAATCAATATTATTAATTTTAAGGGCTGATGTTTCAAAAGTTTTCAAAAATCCCCTGGTTTCAGCGGCAATACTGAGACGTATTTTTGCGCAAAATAAATTAAATAAGGAAAAATACGTAATTTAATCAAATAAATAGCTTTATTTAATTCATCCATTTTCAGCGACGACACCGTACTGGCGAGCCCTCAGCTGTACCTCTCCGGCTGGGGCTCAATCCTCGTCACCATCAACGCCGACCTGTCAATTTCGATGGAACGCCGCGATTTCCTCGAGTCGCCAATCGCCGTTTCGTGTGGATATTAATCGACGGCGTTACGGTAGAAGCTCAAGCTTCACCGCGTTCAAAATCCTCCACGATTTTGCTTTATTAAAAAACCCTTAAGCCCGAATTTCGGATGTAAATTTGCCTTTTTGGACCAGGGGGGCGTTGAGCGACACTGGGGAAATGTTGAGTTTAATTTAGATCGTATCAAAAAAACATTTTTCGATTAAATACTTTTCATGAAACATCAAAATTTTAAAATTTCCAAAAACAAAAAGTTGGAGTTGTTTCTTAATACCACCAAAACCTCAAATTTTCCACGATTCGCTCAGCCTCCCCTCCCATTAATGCGCCCCCACCTTGCTCCTGTACATATACAAAAAACCCCCAGCTTTTCACTTGTCTTCCCAGGGTCTCGAGGCGATTTTCGGGGGCTACAGCCACCCGAAAAATTTCAGGCTATTTGGATATCTACAGTAACCCCAGAAAATCGTCTCGGGACCCCCGGATTTTTGACGCGACACCGACACGGGTACCCCACGGCCCCGGGCCACCAAAACACACACGGCCAGCATTATAATTCTCTTTTTTTGACGATTTTTGGGTACGATCTATAGGCAAAATTTGCATATTCTTACGGTATTTCGAACGGAAAATTACGGTATTCTTAAATGGCCGCCCGGGAACCGCAGCGCCAAGCCGCGCGCCGCGCCAATATGTTAATTTTTTATGATAATTCTTATATTTTTCAATGCACCTGCCCACCCCTTGAAACTCTCATTTTTCGCAAAGAAACCACCTGCACTTGTGATGCTAGACCGGAATATTTCTGTAAAAATTACGAAATTATTTATATTCCCATTTTAATGCTGATGTTTTGCAAAAAGATGGTGCATTTTATTCCCTCTCAACCACCCCCGCCGATCCGAAACATGCTGTGAACAACCGAATCTGACATATTCCACTCTCTTGTTTTTTTTCTTCTTTGCCTTTCTTACCCTACTGTATATTGTGGTATATAAATGTGTTTTGTTAAAATGTGGAAAGTCGGAAGATGCAAAGTATAGATTCTTTACAAACATTCTCCGAAGAATGCTGTAAACCAGAACAGCGGGCTTTTGAAACATTTTTGAAACACAATTTTTAAGCAATTGTCAGCGGGTGGGGGTTTAGGGGAAGCTAATATTCTATCTTTCCCCCTAATAATATATAACGTATTTTCGTAGGATTTTTATAGTTTTTGATTGTTAATAAGTTCTTAAAAAATGCTGAACGACTCGACTTTTGATCATTTACCACAGAATTTTGACCGGAAAGCCAAAAATGTCGAAATTTTTTATGCTTTTTAATGCACTTTCTGTTCTAAAAAGTTTGTAAAACACCGGTCAAGCTCATCAATTATATCGAGATCCAAAATACGGACTTTCAACTTGTTATGGAAGACATTTTTCATCGAAGGTTTTCCGTATCAAGAATGGGCACAAAACAAGGAATTATTAGTCGTGGCCCTCGACGGATAAAGTGGAAAATCCATGAAACACAGTTTTTCATGCCAAGAAATCTGGCATGATTATTTTTAAAAAAGCGTACGCGAGCACTGGGTTCTCTCGAGTGCTGTCCCGCTTAACGTCATAAGCTGAGTTTTCTCAGCAGCTGGATGTAAAATTAGATATGTCGCCATTGATTAAAATAAACTTTAGAAATATAGATTTTCAAACAGCTAGTTATTTATCACCACCATCTATGGTATTGTAGCAATAATAGCCATTTAATATTTCAAGAGCAAAACACACAATTTAAAATTTTAAATCCTTTAAATTTAAAATCCAAATTCACCTCGTCGAGTATTAAGTCGGAGTTGAGCCATTTATTACCGTAAAATGTCAAAACATAACTCTTTTAAAGATCCAGCTTTTTCGAGAATCGTTCCAGCATGTCGGCAACTTCCCTTTTGTCGGCTTCCAGACTGCCCCTCGCCTCCGGTTGGCTTATCTGTTTTTCCTGCAAGTGTTTGAAAATCATTAAATCGTCCTAGGCTTCACTTTAAAGAAATACAGAAAAGCAACTTACATGCATTTTCACGAGATACGGATGGCGCAGGCAATTCGTGGCTGTCGGCCGCCGCTGCGGGTTCACCGTAAAAATTTTGTAGAGCAGATTCTCGAGGTCGGCAGCTGAAAATATGTTTGGCTAACCTGACTGCTCAATCATACTAGAGAAAAAATTCCAGATCATGGAAATTTTTGGAAACATTTTTGGAGAAAAACACTACTGTATGAATTACAACGTTGCATTTTAATCTTTTTAACTAATAATAATTGCAACTTCAACTTTCAAAAAAGCTCATTGAAAAAGCATTCGTACACACATAATCAGGCTTTTGTAAAATTGCGAAATTTTAAAAATTTTGAAACATTTTCTGGAATTAACAATGGCCGTCTTTTCAATATTGAAGGTATTTAAGTAGATTGCCTGAAAAAAATGTTTCACAAACTAACTCCTGAGCGCGTTCATCTCCGGGCCAAGAAGCCCCAACGGCCCCTGCAGTTCTTCGCGCAGTTTACTGGGGCGTTCCATCTATCCTCGCCAGATGGTTGCCGAAACTGGAGAAAATGTTATGTAGCTGTATTTAATTTTTTATAAATCGACTTAATGCTATGTTAATTTAAATACATCTTTCCCAAACATATATCTTAATAAAACCCACACTTCCTCATAGCGATCCTCCGGCACCCCGAGCACGTCGAGAACGCGTTGCAGCATCGCCGCTTCGTACGCCGAAAACAGCTTCTAAAACTGACGTATTTTTGGAATTACTTTTGCTATTGAAATCTCTCTCTCGCTCTCTCTCTCTCTACCCACATCTTTCTCAACGCCCTCTGGATTCGGGATACTGCTGGGGAGGAACAGCTTCTTCCCGAGCATCTCCAGCGCGATCAGCCCAACCGCCCACACGTCCACTAAAAATCCAGTTTCTAGCTCGACCTCCTTCCTCAACAATCTCTGCTAGTCTGCCCTCTCCTCTTCCTCAACAATCTCTGCTAGCCTGCCCTCTCCTCTTCCTCAACAATCTCTGCTAGTCTGCCCTCTCCTCTTCCTCAACAATCTCTGCTAGTCTGCCCTCTCCTCTTCCTCAACAATCTCTGCTAGCCTGCCCTCTCCTCTTCCTCAACAATCTCTGCTAGCCTGCCCTCTCCTCTTCCTCAACAATCTCTGCTAGCCTGCCCTCTCCTCTTCCTCAACAACCTCTGCTAGCCTACCCTCTCCTCTTCGACAACAATCTCTGCTAGCCTACCCTCTCCTCTTCCTCAACAATCTCTGCTAGCCTGCCCTCTCCTCTTCCTCAACGATCTCTGCTACGCTACCTCTCGAGTCATAGGTGCAATTCGGAACGAGCAGCTCGGGCGGTCTGTAGAGATGCGGGGTCCCGACACGCCCCTTCGTCGTCATGCTTCCGTCAGATACAGTCAGACTAAAAGGAATTATTTGAATGCATAAAAGACTTGCCATTTCAATAATCAAAATCTAGAAAGATGGTACGAAAGAGAACAAAAGTTAATACCAACTTTTTCAAAATATTAGGCAGGTAATTCCGGCAAAAAATTGAAACATTTTCGGTAAGAGTCTAAAAACCCCCCAGCCGGCACCAACTTTTGTATCTCGGCCCCCTTTTGTGCTAGCGAGCTCTAAAGTATACCAAAATCTTCGCCGTAGGCTAATTAGTAAGACTACATTGCAGTTTAGTCGAAAAAAGTAGCGAAAAATAAAAATAATGAAGGTAGAAAAGTTGAAAAGTCGGCTGGGGGGGGGGGGTTTCCTAGACTTGAGCCACATTTTCTTTTCCTCTGAACACACGGCCCTCTTACCCGGAACACCCGAAATCGAGCAGCTTGATGTCGAACGTCTGCAGGTTTAGGCCGACGTTTTTCGGGTTTAGGTCCTGTGAAATGAAAAAATGTTGTATTTGTGTAGGTAGTCAGAAATCAATTATGGTTATTATTGAGATTTGCCTGCTTTTTCAGTAATAAATCGTATCTAGCTTTGAAATCACGCCCGGTCAGACCCTTTAAAAAATTAAAGAATGGAAGACGTTACGGTAGTCAAATTTATAGTAGTATAATAACTATAATAGTATCTAAGGAAAGTTTGGATTCCCAAAAAATAACGCAAAAATCAATTTTTTTTGGCAAAAAATTCCCTTTTTTACCAAAAAATAGGTTTCATAAACATTAATGTTACCGCGATTTGAAAAGTACAATTTTTATGCGCAGTTAATGAAATCATCGTACCCGATGAATGACGCCCCGATGGTGCAAAAAGTCCAGCGCCATAAAAATCTGCGTCATGACGGCGGCGACGTGACGATGGTCGCGCGGTTTGTCCATCTTCTCCGGGCGGTTGATGTGGCTGGATAAGACTATATAAATATATCGACGGAGCTTTTGATGAATTTTAAAGCACTTTTGATAATCACTTTAAAAATGACTTTAAGCGAAAAATCGTAAAATATAGGTAAATTGGGGCGGAACGGAAAAAAAGGTACTTCAGTAACTAAAAGTAAATGTTTCAAAAAAAAAATGGATAGATGACCCGATTTTGTTAGTTATTATAATGGCCGGTCAACAATGAGGAAATTATGAAATCGCCCTCGGGCATCAAAGTAGGAATTTAAAAATATAAGCATCTTTTCGGAAAATGTTTATGTTTCATCAGATCGATTACATCATATAAGCTGGTCTTGGCTCTCCCATGACTCGTTTGAACTACAGTGCCTGCCCTAAACATCGCTAAAATTAAGATGTTCTAAGGTATTAAAAAAGCTAATCTCCAATACTTTCCAAACCCCCAGGCTCCATTCAATAATATTAAAAACGTTAGTAGAATTTAGATCTTTAAAAACCGTAACTTCTACTACCTCGAGAAGTAAAAACAAATGTTTCAGTCCAGTAACAATAAAACAAAAGCCTCTAATTCACAATCTCCCAGGCCCACTCATCGGGAAAATTTGCAATTTTGCACTACAAGTATCCTATAGGGCAAAAATCAAAGGCCTAAACAAGTCATGAAAAATTTGTCTAAAAATAGCACAAAATGCGATCGAAAATTGATGTTTCGCGTGATCGCAAATAATTCTATTAGCCGAAATAAACAATGCAAACCCGAGTCTCATGGTTTTTGAAAATTGAAAATCTAGCCTGTTTAATTGAAACTTAAGTGTATTTACAACAACAAATCGCCAAGACATACTTGATATACGCCTGCAGCGTGGTCTCCATGCGCTCGGTGACGATCCACGTGTACTTGACGGTGCCGTCTGCATTCGGCTCGAAGAACGTGTCTTCAAGGCGGACAATCTGGGTTTTGAGTAAAAATAGAAATAAAAATAATCAAAAGAGTAGAAAGTGATCGATTCCATCGTTTAATAATAAAAATAAAAGTAAAAGACAATTGTATTTTTATGGCCCCGAAAATCAAAATTTCTCATCTAATGATCAGAATTCGAAATGGATCTAATTGTAACAACGAATTTTTCCTAAATTGGTCCTCTAGAATCGTAATATACTTTCACAAAATCCTGGAATTTTATTGAGGATTACCGTAAAATACCCACGTAACAATATATAGTTTTTTTAACGTTTAGTGTTTGTGCAAATTTAAAAACAATCCAACAAATTAAGAGAAGCAGAGCATTCTAGTATCATAAGGTATTTCCCCCGAAATCACCAAATTCAATGAAACATACATTTGGGTGCACGAGGAATTGGGTGTTCTGCAGTTCTCGCATCAGCCATCGGTACGATTTGTCCTCTTTTAATTCTGACATTGTGTACCTGAATGATTTATAACTTATTTACAAAAAATTTCACAAAAAACGAAAATCATAATGTCGACCTTTTCGGAAGGCCGAAATTTACATAACAATCTCCAGGAAACCCTCAAGACGAAAATACAGACGCAGTCAACTTTCGATATTTTGGAACCTAGATATTTTTATAGCAAACCAAAATATAATTCCAAAATATAACATGACGATATTACGGATTAATCCAGCTAAAAATTTTGGCGAGCTATTACCTCGCAGAAACATTTTTTTTTGTTCAAAAGCAGCTAACCTTTTTGCCGCGACGCGGCAGGCAGCTCCGATGTTACCATTTTCCTGAGTCGAGCCACTAAACTTTTTTGATCTTTTAAAACGGTAAGTAATAATTCCAAATATTGGAAAAAGCAACTTACAAATCATGAAACATTTTGGTCAACTTTTACCAACCTTTTTACGTCAATGCCGCCCATCGCGCCTTTTTGCAGAATAGCGCCTCTAAAAGGAACTTGAAGAGGGGAGGCTAGCAGAGATTGTTGAGGAAGAGGAGAGGGCAGGCTAGCAGAGATTGTTGAGGAAGAGGAGAGGGCAGGCTAGCAGAGATTATTGAGGAAGAGGAGAGGGCAGGCTAGCAGAGATTATTGAGGAAGAGGAGATGACAGGCTAGCAGAGATTGTTGAGGAAGAGGAGAGGGCAGGCTAGCAGAGATTGTTGAGGAAGAGGAGAGGGCAGGCTAGCAGAGATTGTTGAGGAAGAGGAGAGGGCAGGCTAGCAGAGATTGTTGAGGAAGAGGAGAGGGCAGGCTGGGCAGAGATTGTTGAGGAAGAGGAGAGGGCAGGCTAGCAGAGATTGTTGAGGAAGAGGAGAGGGCAGGCTAGCAGAGATTGTTGAGGAAGAGGAGAGGGCAGGCTAGCAGAGATTGTTGAGGAAGAGGAGAGGGCAGGCTAGCAGAGATTGTTGAGGAAGAGGAGAGGGCAGGCTAGCAGAGATTGTTGAGGAAGAGGAGAGGGGCAGGCTAGCAGAGATTGTTGAGGAAGAGGAGAGGGGCAGGCTAGCAGAGATTGTTGAGGAAGAGGAGAGGGCAGGCTAGCGGAGATTGTTGAGGAAATAAACAATGTTTCGTGACTTACATAACCATTGCCTGCTGCCCTTGGCCGATCGAGTGAAATTCTTCCGGCTCAACTCCTTGGCTACGGTAGTGCTTGTCTTTCTAAAGTTTCATAACAAAAATAATTCAAGTGTTTATAGTTATTGTTTTATTTATGTTAGAATTTCAGGACATTCGTTTTTCATTGTTCGATTTCATTATTTTAGTTTTTTCCGGGTATCCAATTTTGCTTTCTATATGTTTCACTGACAATAGTTTGCTGCAGAAATTATCTTCAATGCAATTTTGAGAGAGAGAAAATAAAGAATCCACAAAAAAAAGCTAAAAAGCGTGCAACATACCGTATCCGGATAATAATTATCCGGCAGTCTCATCTGCAGTTTTTCTTCTTTCATTCGCCGCTCGTCACGTACAAATACAGTAACTGCTCTCGCAGCAACCATTCTAGAAATTATGGGGGTTTTTAAAGGGATGGCGACAGGCAGGAGCGAAAGTACAGCGAAATGACTTGATCGGAAGACAAATTATAGCGTGCCCAAAATTCTGGAAGCCACGATTTTATGAAACACTGCCTCGGATACGATATTTACAAAATTTTTTTAAACCACAGAAAGACATTTCAAATCAGCATATGAAGAATTTGTTTTCGAACTCTCGAAATACAGATGATTTCAGCTAAAATTCTGAGTTTCAAAAACATGCAATGATGGTACCATGATTTTTTTCATAATTAGGTTGTTCGTTGCTGATCCTACAGCACAAAAAATGGGATTTTTTCTAACTTTAAATCGCTTTAAAACCTTTCAAAATATATTAAATCAACAAAATCGGAAGAAAAATAACTTTTTAAGAAATTTGTTCACTTAACATGTGTAGTATTTTTTCGATGTTTCGGTTGTTGGCATCTAACAAACAAAAAAATCGATGATAATTTGACTTCGGAGAAAGGCATAAATTATAAAGCGTTAATGGTTTAATGATAACTAGATTGAAAATCTATAATTCTCTAAATCTATAACGCTATAAAATCTCTAAAACCTATAAAAATCTCTAAAAATCTTTAAATCTCTAAAAATGTGCTATTCGCGAGGTGAAACAATCTTTTTGGGGGAACCGAGAGCGATTGGCTGTTTGTGGGTAGAGATAAGGGGAAAAGCGGAGAAACGGGATGTCAGCAAATAATTGACCAGCCCTGCCTTGACATTTTCTTGCCCACGAAAATGCTGGTGCAAGAAAATGGCGAAACTCGATGAAAAACGGTTGTTGGCGGGGAAACCAAATTTTTCCGCCATTCCGTGGGAACCCTATGCCGAAAATAAATCATTTTTAGAGAATTTGACATAGTTTTGAGGTATAAAAGTGGAGAAATAATTCTAAAAAATCTTCGAGATTTTTGTTACTTTTTTTTCCTCTAGAAACACTATAAAAATTCCTTAAGTATTATCAAAGGTCAAAAGCAAAAGATGTTTCCCCCTGCTAACCCCCACCCCCCGCTAACAGTACAATGCCATCGCTCGTAGACTCCCTATGATAAAATACCTATTATTTAGGCCATACTTTAGTTTAGGCAATTCTCAAAAATCGTAAAGCTTATGGAAAAATACTCGAATCTAATCTTTTCGTATTTCGAACCATATCAATTTGATTGAAATTTAAATCGTAAAAATGTCAGAGTATCTCGTCAACCAATCCTTCCAGTTCGAGGGGTAAGCGTAAAAACTTGGCCCATTTTTATGTTTATTGCTTTCAGGTGCCATGATTTGTTCTACACAAGGGCGTATGACGGTCGCGACGTCAAGCCTGCATTTGAAGAAGCGAAGAAATTTATTCACGAACTTCGCCAACTCGAAATCTCTGCAGAAGAAAAAGAAAGATTGGAGAAACAAAACTTCAGCTGATCCTTATAGTGATCTAAGGTGTGTGGTGAGGTGTGGTGTGGTGTGTGTGGTGTGTGTGTGTGAGTGGGGAATAAGTATTGAATTATCTATTTGTTAAGATTACTTTGGTATTCTTTTACCATCTATTTTCTATGAATTTTATTTTATTTAGTTCATTTTCACCTAATTTCAGCAGGCTAGCAGAGATTGTTGAGGAAGAGGAGAGGGCAGGCTAGCAGAGATTGTTGAGGAACAGGAGAGGGCAAGCTAGCAGAGATTGTTGAGGAAGAGGAGAGAGCAGGCTATAGAGATATTGTTGAGGAAGAGGGAGAGGGCAGGCTTGCCAGAGATTGTTGAGGAAGAGGAGAGGGGCAGGCTAGCAGAGATTGTTGAGGAAGAGGAGAGGGCAGGCTAGCAGAGAGATGTTGAGGAAGAGGAGAGGGCAGGCTAGCAGAGATTGTTGAGGAAGAGGAGAGGGCAGGCTAGCAGAGATTGTTGAGGAAGAGGAGAGGGCAGGCTAGCAGAGATTGTTGAGGAAGAGGAGAGGGCAGGCTAGCAGAGATTGTTGAGGAAGAGGAGAGGGCAGGCTAGCAGAGATTGTTGAGGAAGAGGAGAGGGCAGGCTAGCAGAGATTGGTGGTGGTTATAACTGTGGGTTTTATAACGGGACCTCGGGAGTTCGTATAAATGCCTTCTTCAGAATCATCGCTTCCGTAATCATTTAAATTTTTGAAATTTATCGATTTTCGATAAAAACCACAAACGTATAGGTAATATATAAAATATGCAATTTATCGATTTATATTTCGACCTTATGCTTCATTTAATTGTGAGGTTGAGGTGGAGGTGGTGGCTGTTGATGTGGGAGATCGTGTATCACGGGCATTTGGTGGAATTGCGATGGAAATTGAGGAGGATGAGTCTGTGGCTGGGCAAATGCTCCTCCGAAGAAGCCGCCGGCTGTGAATGGCGGAAATGTGCCCAGCATGCCGCCGTCTAGGAGCGAAGCTGAAACATAATTTTTGGTTCCTACGCATTATCGGGGGGATTTTTTTCTAGTTCCGTTTCTTCTAACAGATATAACGGAATTGTTTGTAAACTGTTTTTACGATTACTTAAAGTAAAAATTTTAGTAATTTTGACTACAGTTAAAAGAACCTAGATTTTTCGACCGAAATTACTTAAAAATTTTTTACAACTTTTGATCGTTTCTCCACTAAAGTCATAGTTAAATTTTACTATCCCCCGATATTGCGATAGTACTGTAAATTTTTTCATTTTTGATAAAAAATGTTTCAACTTCGAAACGAATGATAGCACCGATTTAGCATTAATTCCATAGCGCATCTTCCCCTCGATTGCGCTTTTTCGTTTTTTTTTCAAAATGTTTCAAATATGAAAAACAAGAGCGCAGCTACTTTTCTGCAAATTAAAGCTATTTTCTAAATTTTAAGTTATTATCGACGCTTAAGTTAAGTTATTATTATTATTATATTATTTAAGTTATTATTTAAAAATAATCACTGTAAGTTACTTTACAGCTCTCGAAAAAATGTTTCCAAGCTGACATGTAAAATCGCGTTTACTTTTATGACAATTTATGTCGATCGCATTCGTTCCCTTATTATCCTTAATCTCTTCTATTTGATACCAATCTAAAAATAGCTTTACAAATGCCTTGCTTTGAACGATTTAACGCTCAAAATACCCACCACTGGTAATCTGCGGAAGCGTGGACAGGGCGGCCGACGCCGAGGCGGTCAAGCCTACAAATTCGATATGATTCTTATATTGAAACTAATGTTTCATTAAATGTCTACTAAAAAATCTGGTAATCATAATGAATGCGAGTCATAGTGAATATAGGAATTTACCAGGTAACGGTCCGCCGGGAATCGGAAGTGGAGGCGTGGGCGGGACGTGGCGTTTGTTTTGAACGTCTAGAAGGTATATTTGAAAATTTTTAAGCAAATTATGCCATTTTAAAAGCTTTATCTGTATCTAATTTCTCGCAAGCTAATCTCTGGATCACGTTGTGGGTACTTTTGCATTATCGAGGGGGATTACCTGGGGAGAACGAATTTTTCTAGCATCCAATTTTTTTGCAAAATAAGCAGAGGAGTTGTTTCTATACCGTTTTTACTATTCTTAAATGCCAGAAATTTTTTATTGCAGAAATTAAATAAATTTTTAAAAAATACAAAAATATCGATTTTTCGAGCAAAATGTCCCATTTTCGACGAAAACCTCGAAGTTTCATTTTTTGATGTTTTAGATAATTTTTCAATTTTAATATATAGTTAAAATTTGCTAAAAATTCTATTAAAAAGCTGACCAGTACGTTTAGGTGGTCCTAGAACTTAGATTTAAAATTTAAAATTTAGTAAAATACAAAATCGAGCTAACCAAGATTAGACCACGTCGAATACGCTAATCCCAATTAAACAACGAAACATTCATTTTTGCCTTTTTTGGGGAAAGTATCGGAACTCACTCTCCGGCAACATCCCACACTCCATACAGCGCTTCAGCCGGCATGCACGGCAGATTTTTCGGTACCCTGAAAATGCGGCGATTTCTCAGTTTTCTTTTTTTGAATTTTAGATTTAGAGAAAATTCAAAATCCTTTCTCCAATGATTTTCATAAATTAAGGGGAGATTTTTATGAAGCCTACGCTTTTTTGTGTAGAATGTAATCATGCAAATTAGCGTTAAATGCCCCACCATCCCTGCTAGCCGTCGTGCAGCGCTGCGAGCGCTTGCAGATGTACTTCTTGGCGTCGGAGATGGTGCGCCGGAAAAAGGCTGCAAGAAAAAGGTTCATTTTTATTTTTTTGTTTGGGCATATACCTTAAGTATCTTAATTATATAACGTTACTCGCAGAGGAACATTATGGAGTTTCATAAATTTTGATTTTGAGAGACTGTCGAAACATGATTTTTTCGTTAGAATTTTTTAGGAGGAACAGTATTTTTTAAAATCTAGAATGCCCCAAAAACTCAATAATTCACCACTATTAAAAATATTGATGGAAAAAATAGAAGCTACGAAATCCCATGAAAACAGATAAACCCAACCAGCGCAAGCAGCACACGTCCGCGCCCCAAAGTGCAGCCCGTTCGCCTGCGTCGAACGGCATACCTGGAAGTTGTTAGGGTAGCTATAATTATAATTTTTAAATTTCAGCACTCAACGCGCATTAATGAAAATAGTAATAGAAAATTTTCAAAGTCGACCTAGATAAAAAATGGGAATTTGTGAGAAGAATACATGTTTCGAAAAAAATGGTCAGCCCCTGTATTTAAGGCAGCGCAATTATTCCTTCGTAAAACGCGTGACGAATTTTGCTTTACACGTTTAATTATTTCATTGAGCGAGAGACAGAGAGAAAGAGAGAGGGAGAGCGGAGAGAGAAAGAGAGAGCGGAGAGAGAGAGAGCGAGACAGAGAGAGAGAGAGAGAGAGAGAGAAAGAGAGAGCGAGTGGGTGCGAGGGAGAGTGCGAGAAAAGAGAGAGAAATTACTTCTAAGGTACCTGACAATCGGCTGGGTTTTTCCCCTCGGGCGGCGAATCCAAGTCTCTTGTCGCGATTTCGAGTTTGGGCTATAAAAAGTTACTTAAAACATCTAAATTCAAGGAGCATGTAAGGGAAAACCATGAATTTTGCTAGCTTTAAATTCCCTAAAATTCAGGGCAAGCTAGCAGAAATTATTTGCGGAATGGCGATCGACAACCGACCGGAAGATCGGCATTCTCAGGTTGTGGCGTCTTCACTTCTTCTTTAGGGACGACGGCCGATTCTGCTGATTCCTTCGATTCCTTGTATTTAGTTTCGGCGGCCTTGTCTTTCTGGAAAAAATGAGTTTCATATCTATAAAATTAAACATTATACAGAACGCGGCTTATTACAGATCCCAGATCAATTCATGATGGCGCAGGCGAATTAATAATTAATAAAAACAATGAATTAAATTAGTTACCATATTTTTTTCTGGTGTCTAATAAATTGGTTAGCACGTTCATTAATTTCCTGCTACCTCCCGCGCACCCATTTTTTGTGCAACTCAGTTTTTTAATTTTTTTTTTTTGGAAAAATTTTTGTCTGCAAAATCGGCTTTTCCTAACGCGATAAGCGTTTTTTGTTTTGATAAACCGCATTGGAAATTACCTTAATGGCCCCCAAATAGACGGCCGGGTCGATGTTGCCGAAAATCGGCTGCGAGAAGAGCAACTCGTCCCTGCAAAAAGAGCTGTTTCAAATCCTTTGCGAGTCCCTTTAAATTTTTTCTGCCAGGTTGCCGAAATAATCAATCGAGATATCATCGTGCCGAAATATAACATTATCCAAATTCAAATTTTGAATCAATTTAACTTCCGAACAAAAAGGATAAGGAACAGTTCACCAGTGCCAAACCATTACTCGCAAAAAATGTGTTTCGCCAGGATTCGTAGCCGTGGATTTCCGATTTTCTGCACTGGCTTTTTGCACACGCCAATAAAAACAAATTTTAAAAACTCACACCCGCGTGGCGTAGTAGGGGAAGTTGTAGTTCGGCTCGTACTGTAAATGCGGAATTAATGTTTAGGTTTATTAGGGGTCATTAGGATCCTGTTTTTCTATTTTTTATTTTTACCTAAAAGCTTTTCACTTACCTATTAATAAAAGATGTTTTTTTCGGGAAAAATGTCATATTTTTCAAAATTGCGTTAATTTTTTGATGGTTTTCCGCTTGAAATATAGTTAATTTTGATAAGAAAAACACTATTAGATAGTTATTTTTAGATAACTAGGCATTTCCGGAAGGAACAAACACATCCCTCCCCCCGATAATGCAAAAGACCAGCGCCACGCGCATTAAGATATATTTATTTATATATCGCATATTTTTCTATTCTATTCTATAGATATTATTCTATTTTATTTTACTTAATTTAGCTTATATTTTTAACCACCTAGTTTTAATGTGTTGTCAACGATGTAAAATCTCGAAAAACTGCTTGTTTTAGAAAAAATAATTGGCAAAGTGCAGCTTTACCAGTGAATATCAAGCAGTTGCAGTTAATATGAAACCGTTGCATTTCGGCCATATTAGTTAGTAATATATTGATATATATTATTTAATTATTTTTATTTGAATGAATTAAGCGGGTAAAGCACGAACCCGGCTGACATCGGAACCGTGGGCGAGTACCGACGGTCTGCCCGCCGAGGTCTCCGGCACCATCTCAAAATTTGGCGGCTGAAACTCCAGCTCCGGCAGTGAAAACTAAAAAAGATAATCTAATTGTCAAAATAATTGTTTCAGAAAAAGAATTTTATTGTTGGGCGGAGGGTCTACTAGGCCGTCGCTTGGCCGCTTGAAAACATAAATTGGCAAAACACAGTTTTTGAACTTTAATTAGAAAAACGATGATTTTAAAATAAGATGTAAGGGTTAGAACGATTTAATTTTTTTTAAATTAATGAAAACAAAATTAAATGTTGTAACAACAGATTAAAGAAGTTACTGGCGCCGTCTCTGAGCCGCTGGAGATCATAAATCGTCAAAACACATTTTTCAACCTTACTTAGAATTTAAAATAAAATTCAAGGATCAGTTTTTAACACGACATTTTCGGTTTAATGAAATAAATATAATCAAGTATTGGGTGATTTATTATTAACAAAATCATTTAAAAAGTAAATTTACTGTTGCTAAGTAAGCCCACAGATTATTGACGCCGTCTCGCAGCCACTTGAGATCGAATGGCAAAACATATATTTTTAATTTTTCGCTGAGAATTAAAAACAATATGTTTTGCTTCCGAATTGAGAACCGATAGACCTTGAGAAATTTAAGGCCAGACTGGTTGTGAATATTTTTGATTTTTCAAGTACCTTCTTCAAAATAAGTTTTTCTTCGAATTTGGGAGTCGATTATCGATGAGAATTTTGACCAGGATGGGTGCATTTAAAATGCAAAATCGAATTTAAAGGGACGGGTATTTGAGTCCCGCAGGATTTTTTTTAGCTGTGGATTCTTATAGATTTTTACGCGCTATGATAGTCTATCCTGCAAACTAATTGTAAGCTATGCCAAAATTCTGGCTCTTATAATTCAACTAATCGGTTACGATATTTTTCTCGAAACATAGTTTTTCCAGGCTAAATTGTTTAAACTTGCCACGACTACAAAATCGATGACAAGAAAAGTATGTTTTGTATGGGCTTGTAGCTGGAAGCTAGCAGAGGTTGTTGAGTGGCGAGGGAAAGGCGGAGGCTATTGCCCGGGTACCCATGGGAAAATACCGGATGAAGGTTGGGGGAGGCTCGAGCTAACGAGAGTCGATTAATTCGGCTAGAAGGGTAGGATTTAAGAGATATACCTTAAATGGAAAATATAATTCCTCAGAAATCGCTGCTAGTATGACCAGAACTTGGAGATAGCCTTGAATTTGAACTGCGTCGGATCTTTTCTAACCAAATTTTTTCAGTCAATCGTGGATGTGTTTCAACATTTTTTTAAAGCTATATGCGTGTAATTTAAACTTAATACGCACAAGATAATGCTTTCGACCTAAAATGACCATGAAAATGACATGACTGAAAATCCCAAATTTCCTATTTTTTGAACTCTAAGTATGACTACAACGAGCCAAAAACAATATAAAAACACTTTCTATGCTATTGACTGCCAACTTCACCGCGTGAGTATCGGCAAAAGTGCGGGGCATGTTACATTCCTGTAAGGCATTTCAGGTTAATTTTTGGTGGTAATCCGGTGTGTTTGCCGCTTGTTTTTGCTTGTTAGCATAATCCTACCTTATATAATTTGGTCGCGTATCTTTGTCTGTGTGTGTGTGCGGAGGTCAGTTTCGAGGCCCGATTTGAGGCCCTTCCCGTGTCCAAAACGCCCCAAATTTTCGCCACCATGGGGAATCGAGCCTCCTCTTTCCGATGGTGTTTTCAGAATTCCGATAAAATACAAGTTTACAAAGTTAAAGGCGATTTTATTCATTTTTGGGGTCCGGGAGGGCTAATTTGCATATTGTGAAAAAAATAAAAATTTCCTCATTCTTGCAAGTTGCACTCGCGAGGTTTGGTCGGGACAGGGAAGGGGGTCCGAAGGACCCGAGCTATCAGAAAGTCAAACTTTTCATGCAAAGGCCGCATTCCAGCGCCCAAGGCCCGCGAAGCGGGTTTTGGGCGCTGGTTTTTAATGAATCAGCAGCAGACGAGCAGAGATTGTGGAGGAAGAGGAGAGGGCAGGCTAGCAGAGATTGTTGAGGAAGAGGAGAGGGCAGGCTAGCAGAGATTGTTGAGGAAGAGGAGAGGGCAGGCTAGCAGAGATTGTTGAGGAAGAGGAGAGGGCAGGCTAGCAGAGATTGTTGAGGAAGAGGAGAGAGCAGACTAGCAGAGATTGTTGAGGAAGAGGAGAGAGCAGGCTAGCAGAGATGATTAAGGATGACTCACCGCGGGTAATAGAGGGAATACTGTAGGTTGTAGTTGTGTGATATCATACGGTGCATATGGCGATTGTATAGTTTGTAGTTGTGATTGTGTGGGAGCTGGAGGTAATGATGGTGCATCATCGAAGGAGTAATTCCAGGTGGATTGGAGCACGCTGGGGCGAGCAGTCGGAAGTTCCGTCTAAAAAAGTCAAAAAAGTTACTTTTTCTACTGGAAATATAGGTAAATTTTAAAGAAAAACGTATTGAAATAATCACTATGACTTTCCTAGACATCTATGGGCTCACCCGAAAAAAATGAAAATTCTACCACCCCCGATAATGAGCTTGATCGATGCTGTTTTATTTTAATAAGGCTAATTTTTCAACGCAATTTTACTGAAAATTATTATTAAAACTGAACACCCTAGTAATAATGACGCTCCCCTGTTAGACGTGCCGGATATGTGGAACATCAATTTTTCCCTAAGCTTAATTAAGCTTTTTTGAAGGGAAAGCGGTAGCTTGCGGCACCTATTCCGCACAATTTTACCAATTATTTTTAGTAATTGTCTGATTTCGAAAAATCCCGCGGTTTTTGCGGCTCTCAAACGGAATTTTTCTGCAGAAATTTGGAACCATAATAAAGAATGAAATTTTGGGCTCTATGACGCTAGTCTCGAAACGCATTATTTTAATTCTGGAGGTCCTGTTAGATGATTAGGGTAATAGGTCTCAAAAATATCGATAGCCATAATGCCGACACGCCAAAATACCGACATGTAAAATAGCGACTTAAAAGGATGTCGCAAATATGGATGTCCGCATTTTCGATGTCGGCATTTTGGGCTATCGGGAATATGACTGTCGGGATTTTGGCTTTAGAGATTTTCGATGAAATTCTTCAAAACATCGATTTGGTATTATCATGTCGAAATTTATAATGTCGAATGTTCATAATGTCGAAATACCGTAATGGCGAAATTCCTGATGACAAAATGCGATAATGTCGACTTTCTTAATGTCGATTTTTTTAATATGTCGAAATGTAAGCAATTCGAAAAAATTAAGCATTTTTAGCAACCTCAAAATTCCAAAGTTTTGTTTTTTATTTTATTTTTACTGATTGTCCAATTTTTACGATCCGCCGGTTGAAATGAATTTTTGTGCAGGGTTTTGCACGATATGGCACGTAATCAATTTTTTGAAATTTCTAGTTCTATAGCGCTGTTTTCGAAACTTATTATTTTAACTGGCCAAATTCCAAAGTTCCCAGATCAGCACTGGATAATGGGTGTAAAAAACTTTGTTTTTAACAGGGTTACCATTTCGGGTCGATCGTCTTGATCTTGAAGCGTAGATTGGTGTGGCTCAATGTCGGGCGGTGGAATTGGGGGATATGGTGGATGTGGGTTGTTGAACCACCAGTCCGTGTGGAGAAGTGTGTCCATCCTATAGAAAAGGGTTCTGTTGCATTATCGAGGGGGGGGGTCAAATTCCTCGATATCAATTTTCTAATATAAAGGGGAGGTTTTCGAAACGCTTTTTTACAACTCAAAGCAAAACCCGTAGAAAGCCTAATTTAAAAAATTCACGAAATATCTTTTCTAAATTTAAAATTTTAAATTTTGTGAAGTTTGCCACTATAAATCACGTTGTTCAAAGAAATTTTTAAAGAAAAGGTGTTTCAAAAGACTATGCAAATTTCCCGAGCAATTGGATAATTTAGGACCCGAAATTCGTATTTTCGGGGTCAGGAAAGCCTTTTTAACGATAACCCCAACTAAATTTTATAAAAATTGTTCGCTTTTATGCTAAATTGCCAAGTTCGCGCATTCCAGATCCTGAACCCTCGTATTCAAATTTTTCCGCTGCTCCCTGGGACTTCACAAATTCCTAGCGCATTTTTCCGGGCCACTACGATCTACGGGGGCCAAAATCCCGATCAAAAATGGTCCCTACGATTCCGTGGGGAAACTATAAACCCACCCCAACTACACATACAAATTACAAATCGCAGAAAAAGCTTGGTGGGGGTCGCGAATTATAATTGAGGCCGGGGGAGAGGGCCAGGGGTGGGAATTTGGGACTCGAAGCGGCAAAAGCTGTCTTGGCAACGCCTTTTTTGTCTCCGCAGATGGGGTACGGTAGCTTGGGGCCGGCCAATCGCGGCCCGACCTCATCGACATTCGGAGTCACGGCGATTTTTGTAATATTTTTAAAACGAAACACATTTCTTGGCGCCGCGTTTATCAACAAATTCTTTCTTATTCTCCTTCTTCTTCTGTCGTCACTCCGAAAAATATTCAAATTTTCAGAAAATAATGTTTCAGAAATCAACAAATATCGAACTCAATATTTAAATATAATTTAATCGTTGTTGGCTAAGAATATTTATTAGTGCTTTTGAAAATATTTTTTAAATGTATCATTTTTATTAGCGGATTTAAAGGTGAATTTTTATAAATAGCGGATGCGTTTCTAAATTTTTTTAACTATTCCAAAGCATAAAAACTAAGCAAATTTTAATAAAAAAAGTTTAATTTTAGGTGGTAAAATTCTATAGAACCTTTAGGATTCGCGGGGGGGGGGGATGCAAAATGACCAAATGTTCGATTTTTTTTTCAAGCATTTTCCTAACTTTTTTTGTAAGTATCTCTTTCGTTATATGCTTCGTTTTTTGCATTTTTTTACGTGTTTACGTTTTGTTTCGTTATAAGCGTTGTAACTAAATGTTTTTCGTAGAAAATCAATATGGATTGGCACTGCTTGCCAAAGAATATGACAGACAAGGGAA